CCCACACTCACCACCCCAACCCTGACCCCCCTCCCACACTCACCACCCCAACCCTGACCCCCTCCCACACTCACCACCCCAACCCTGACCCCCCTCCCACACTCACCACCCCAACCCTGACCCCCCTCCCACACTCACCACCCCAACCCTGACCCCCCTCCCACACTCACCACCCCAACCCTGACCCCCTCCCACACTCACCACCCCAACCCTGACCCCCTCCCCCCCCTCCAACCCACACTCACCACCCCAACCCTGATCCCCCCCTCCCACACTCACCACCCTCAACCCTGACCCCCCCCTCCCACACTCACCACCCCAGCCCTGACCCCCTCCCACACTCACCACCCCAGCCCTGACCCCCCTCCCTCCCACAATCACCACCCCAAGCACACCCAATCTTGCATAACCCCCACCCACAGCTGCCTCAGCCTCTGGCATCTCTCCCTTAAACCAGCACACGTGTAGCCCAAGGCGTCCGCTCCTACGCCTGAATCCTACACAAAGCCTCGTCCCCTGGTCATGAGCTGCTCGGACACTGCTCGGACACTGCTCGGACACTGCTCGGACACTGCTCGGGCTGAGAAACGTTGAGAAATAACCAGCAAGAGGAGGACAAAGATGGCTTGTTGCTGTCTACTTTGACCCCCGTGGCTGTTGCGATGCTCTCCTGCATATACGCATTTTCTCCCGCCCTCAGTTGCCAGATTTAGAAATCTATTAAATTACATGTGGTGTAGCGAGTTGATGGATACTCAGTTACAGGCGATGGTCCTCCTTTAAAAGGCCAGTTAAGTCACAGAGTTGCACCTCTGGTCAGAAAGTGTGTATAATTTTAAGAGATCAATATTGGGACTGTAAGCGGCAACTCAGACTATATTATGTCATCTCAAGAGGAGATAAAGTGGTAATTGAAGTCATCTAAAGATCTGTAGTGAACAACAGAAGACTCAGACAAAGATTAGAGAGCATAGAGCTTGCATGAATGTTCACTAAGAGGCAGGAGAATCAGATCACAAATCGAGAGCGATGCTGTTTTCGTGGTAGACTTCAACCATGGTGAAAATGGATTGGAAATAGTGAAGCCAAGATTGAGAGAGGAAA